ATCTTTAACAGATTATTTCCTAAAAGGTGTTGTAGAAAAATTATTTCACAAAGTTTTTTTCTTTAGTAATAAGTGTTGTAGAAAAAATTATTTTTTTAAAGTCTTGTAAAGTTTTTCTTTTTAAAGAGTATTGTAGAAAAAATCATTTAGGTATTAAATCAAGTTAGAGTTAATTAAAGTTTAAATATTAAATCAATGATGAAATTGCAGATCGAACTGATATTTTAATGAAAAAAAAGCAAAAATCTGCAAAATTGCAGACTTCCGCATAAATTTCACATAAAAAAAAGCAGAAATCTGCAAAATCGCAGATTACCGCAGAAATTCATACATAAAAATCGGAAACTTGCAAAATTGCAGATTATTGCATAACTTTGTAAAAAATAAAAAGCAGAAATCTGCAAAATCACAGACTTCCACATAAATTCACAAAAAAAATGCGGAGATCTGCTAATTTTACAGATCTCCGCAGTTCTGCATCTTAAAAAATTTCCCGATGAAATCAAAATTTGATCACAATGTACCAAAATAATTAATAATTTTTATATCCTTATATCTATATAAATCAATTATCCAACTTGATTTTACATCGTTACTGAGTAGCAGGGAAGGAACTGCCATTATATGGGTTGGGGCTTAGCAAAATTCTTTCCTTGAAACAATCTGCTACTCCAATATCTCTTATTAGTTTCATTTTTTACTTAACTGGCCGACCCTTTCTCATGTACTACTTTACAAAAATATAATAAAGATTTTACTTCAAATTTTTTAAATGTGTGTGCATGTTTTATATATACTATTGCTATAGCATTTATTTTAGCCCAGTAAATATTATTTCAATTTGAATTAAAATTTCTTTCAGTTGACTAAAAATTTCGATTTATTTTGATTTTGGCCAGAATTAAGCTCAAGTCACCAGGTGTCTCTGGCTGGAATTATGAAGAGTTTCGAATTTTGAACTTCAGGTTTCCAGCTTACTGAATGTAATCACATGATAATATCTATCTAGAACCAATAATAATATTATCATGTGATTTATTTTAATATGTGACTTGTTGCAAAAAATTTTGATTTGGGCAAAAAATTTTGATTTCTTTTGATAAATTGCTTTCGAAAATTTTATAAGTTCCTGATGCAAATATCTAAGATTACATGATAGAAGCAGTTGTACAATTGCACTCCCGTTTTGTGGGTGCAGTTTTTTAAAAGTCACATGATATGTGATTATTGTGATATTTGATCTGTATTACATTATATACTTTTCGATATACGAAACGCGAAAATTTTTTTTTGAAGTATAATATTGAAGTATTATACTTACACTTTATACTTTTTAATTTTAGCAATGAGCTCTAAGACATTACAAAGTATAGAAGGTATAGTTTTATTTTTATGTTTATTAAGTGTTTATTTATTATTTTCTTGTTAAATTTTTAAGTTTTTTTTCAAGTCTAACGTTACATTTTGCTTATTAGAGTCCGAATTGCCACCTGACTTAAAAGAAATTTTGCCTTGTGATTATAAATATCAGCTTGAAAAAATGGACATACTTCCATCATTATTTACTGATAAAGATATAGAGTTAAAGCAATTTATCTTTGACTTATTAATAAATATTCAAACAAAAGATGATGCATTGATATGGTTTGAAAAATTTTAAGAAAAATCAAAGACTACAATATGTATAACTAGAGAGCAAACTATAACAGGAAAAAAAATTGTTTTTAAAGAAGAAAGGCATTGTATACATAGTAAAACTGTAAAAACAAAACAGGGTTCAAGAACTAGTAAACAAGAAAATAGCCTTCGTACACGTAATATTAATTGTCAATCCAAAATGTTAATGCGCATTGAAAAAAAAAATTTAATAATGCATGTACACATTAAATATATATATAATCATATTCCATATTCAGCTGAATCACTTAGCTTCCGCCCAGTTAGCAAAATTACCTGAGATAAATATATTGAATTATTTAAAAATGGTTACTCACCAGCAACTGCAATTTATACTTATGAAGATAATTTACATTTAGCAGCTGCTAATGAAAAGGAATTAATTACTTTGTTGGCTGACCGAGCAACAAATTCAGACTATAATTTTGTTTACAATCTCTTTAAAAAATATAGAGAAATTAATTTAGGTGCAAGTAATGGATCAAGAATGTTTGAAAAATTAAAAGAAGAAGTTATAATTCAGGATTAGGAAATGCAATACTATGTGAATATAATAAAGAACTTGGGCAACCATTTATTCTTGCTATTGTAACTAATTTAATGAAAAGAGTGCATGAAAAAATTAGACAGGCAGGAGAGATCTGTTATTTTGATGCATCATCTAGCTTTGATCCTTTAAATACTTCAATTACGTTATTATATACCAGTTGTGTTGCTGGTGCGCTTCCTTTTGATCTTTTTTTAACTTCTGATGAATCAGAAGTTACAATTGAATTTGCCATTAATAAATTAAAAAGTATTTTACCTTCAAATGCATTTTTTGGTCGAGGAGTAGATCTAGATCCTTCTATGTTTATGACTGATGATTCTGCAGCTGAACGTAATGCTATTGAACTTTGCTGGCCAAATTCAAAAAGGTTTCTTTGTATATTTCATGTGCTACAAGCATTATGGCGTTGACTATGGAATGCTAATAACCAAATTAAAAAAGATGATCGTTCAACAGTTATTTCAGATTTTAAAAGAATTTTATATGCCAATTCAGAAAATATTATGAATGTTGAATACCAGAAATTCCAGTTACAATGGTATAATAAGTATTCTAAATTGGCAAGGCATTGTTCACTCCTTTGGGAAAGAAGAGAATTTTGGGCAGTATCATTTCGTAATGGTGCTTCAACAAGAGGAAATCATACAAATAATTATGTAGAAAGGAGCTTTGGAATTATAAAAGATATTATTTTTAGTAGAGTTAAAGCTTATAATCCTATTCAAATTTATTTTTTTATTATTGGTAATATGGAAAGATTTTATGAAAGGAAGCTTTTAGCTATTGCAAATAAGCAATTAAACAGTATTTCAAAAAGGTTTTTTTGTCCAAGGTGGGAATCTGTTGACCAAAATAAAATTGTTTCTGCTAATATTGAACATATGTATTATGTTCAAAGTACGTCAAAGTCAGATATATTTTATATAGTTGATTCAAATATTGGTATATGCACATGTCCGAAAGGTAATGCAGGAGGGCCTTATAAACATCAAGCAGCTGTGGCCATTAATCATCAATCAACTATATACCTTCATTATTTTTGATGTGTTATACTTATATCGCACAAGGCATTTGTGTAATGGACAAATCCTTTTATGTAAAATTTCATGCTGAAATAAAAACTAAGGATTTTTTAGAAAATAACGCCACAAACATATTAGGAAATGATAGTAACATAAATAATATATGGGAAAATAATAATACAAATCCATCAGAAAGTCCAGAAAGCCCATTGGAAAATAACAATAACAATGCAAGCCCATCAGAAAATAATCATGCAAATTTATTGGAAAATAATGCACTGAGATTGTTAGATACGAACTCATCGGAAATCTTTGCAAGGTATATATAATAATGCTTAAATTTTTAAATAAATTGTCTGATATTATAGTGTTTATGATATTTTATTTTAGATCTTCGGAATTAGAACTTAATCACCAAAATAGAGAATATCGTGTCAAGTTAATTAAAGAATTTCTTGATTCTGTTTATCAAGATGTTACAAATAACGATCAATTATTATTAGGCATGGAAAGTTTTCAAAAGGGGTATGAAAAAGCTAAGAATACATCTAATGGACAACTAGTATCATATTTACACCAAAATTATCAAAATTTGGATTCAAGATTTAATGTGAAAAATCGCAAAATTCCAGTACAAGTAGCTTCAATCCAAAGGCGTAAACATTCTAAAGAGAATGATCCTAATATGATGCCATCTAGGAAAAAGAGAAAAATTTCAAAATTATCGCACAATTTATCCCAATCCATAAAGAAAAATATAAACAGCTAGATTACCTTTTTATTCATTATTCTTTATTAGGTTTTTAATGTATGGTATAAGTAAAATATAATAATATTACAATTATTTTCACTTAGTAATTATGTTCTTCATTTTTTGTATCAATAAGTCAATAAAACAATAAGCAAAATGTAACGTTAGACTAACAGGGCAGACATCCCCATATTATCACGATATTGCTGATCATTTTGCCGATCACTTGTCTAATATTATCACATAAAAAAATACCGTTGAATTAGTTTTTTCACAAATTCTACATAATGATGTAAAAAATTTCGATTTTATTTACTTTATTTTATTTATTGTTAATAAATTAGTTCTTAAAATAATTCATAAAGATTTTGTCAAATATCAGACATATATTAATTTTACAATAATTGTAAGCATTTATTTAATGATAACTTTTGGGTTATCAAAAATTATCCAGGTTTATTTTAGCCATTGATTCTTGAATACCTAAATAATATACTGTAAAAGTTTCAAGTTTCGCCCGAAGATCTGTGGCTTCGCCCAAAGCTTCAAAGTCACGTTAGCAGATGATCGGCATATATATAGCATATATATTAATTATTGAAAATTTGACATAAAATCTAACTTTGGAAACACACCTTATTTTGCCACAATACTTTTATATTAATTTATTGATAAATAAAACTATTAAATAAAATAATTTAACATAAATTGTCAGAACATTTATTGCTTGGAATAAAGCTTCAAATTTAACGTGATATCACTTATATCATGATCGGCAAGTGATCGACATTGTGATATAATGCATGTCCGCCCTGTTCGTTAGACTTGAAAAAAAACTTAAAAATTTAACAAGAAAATAATAAATAAACACTTACCTTCTATACTTTGTAATGTCTTAGAGCTCATTGCTAAAATTAAAAAGTATAAAGTGTAAATATAATACTTCAATATTATACTTCAAAAAAAAAGTTTCACGTTTTGACGTTTTGCGTATCAGGTATATCGAAAAGTATTTTTTTTTATTTTTTATTTTTTATTTTTAAAATATAGACTCGACTGGGGTCGAACGCTAAATAGGAATAAACATGGTCTAAGAGATCAATGAATTCTAAGCTAGTGTTATACCCAACCTCTCGGAAGAAGCCCGAAGGGGTCGTCTTGCCCATTATTCAACCGAACAAACAGGCATAACCGGGAGTTCAGAAAGTACGATCAAAAGAAAAGGAAGAACTAAAAAAATTAAAATTAAAATTACATGAAGAAGAAAAATTATCTATATTTAACTCAAAACTACTAGGATGCCGGACAGAAGATAACCATCCACCGGAATGTAAAAAATTACATGTGCACAAAATCAACCACATCGGTAGTTGCGGTAAGTGAGAAGGACGAGTAGACGGGGCCGAAGAAGTCCAAGGGTGGGATGAACGGCGAGAAATACCATCTGAAGGTGAAAAGTTCGTCCTAGCTCTAGGCGGAGAGAGATTTTGTGATCCGTGAAAAGAAGTAGAGACAATTCTAGGTTGAGTAATAAGCTGTGCTGTTTGGTGATCACGTGAGTTCCTAGGTTTTTTCTTACGAAAATCACGTTTGCGTTTGGGTGTGATTCCATTACGTTGTTCCCACAATTTCAGCAAAGAACAATGTTTAGGCCATATTTGTTGATAGATTTGGTCGTGAAATAAGATTAAGAATTCCCATATGATGGAACGGGTAAGTTTATCATTAAAGGTAAAAGACCGCACAAGGTTATAAAAATCTTGTGAAATAAGTTGGTGTATAATTAAATATATTGGATGGGTGTAAGAGTTCGACTCCGAGATCGGTGATAAAAGATCCAACTGATCGATGGATTGTGTGATGAGGGCAGGATTGTACGAAGTATGCTCCTCAAGGAGACGTTGTAGTATATTCTTGTGTTCCACTAAAATGTGATTAATTACAGGTAAAAGATTTGAACAAATTCCCAAATGTTCATTAGTATCTTGATGGTCATTGCACACCGGGCAGGGTATATAATTATTGGGGTAGAAATCAGGGTAATGTTTGGTAAGAACATCACCACAAGGAAGTATATGATTAAGTGCTTTAATTCGATAGGCGTGGTGTGAGGATTTGGTGGAGCTACATACATCCGGTGTGGAATTAAATTGCAACCACGCTCTAGTTAGAGGCCAATGTATTGAGGATAAGGGGAATCTATCAAAAATGGGTGAGAGTGAAGAATTACCCAAAAATTGATTAAAAGTGTAAACATCTGTTAAATTGTGACAAAATTTTCTGATATCACGGTCAATCGGCGCTATAGAAGCCCAAATAGGGGTCAATAAAGAACCCGGTAAAGTTGTGGGATTGATTTCATAGGGTGCCAGTTGTCGTGTAGCATTAGCTAAATTATCAGCCATATCATTCCAAAAATTATTGGAGTGAGCTTTGACTTTGTGTAAACGGACGATTAATGATTTCTTCGTAATTAACGTGTCTATTAGGCGCCACGCTAGGTGATTATTGCATTTCAACGTTCTTCTTGTGGAGGTTAATTTATTAGTAACTGTATGGAAAGTATGAATAACGTTCAGCGAGTCTGTGAAGACATCCAATTCGCTCGCATCAGGTACAGCAATAATGGCTGTTAAAAGCGCATAAACTTCTGCTTTGGTAGAAGACGGATTAAAAGATAAAGCGCCTTTGTATATTGGTGGAGGAGAACTGGAATCAGGAGTTATATCAGTAATCTCTATCCAGGCAAAACCCATTTGAGTTTGAGTAGAAGAATTAACATCTATAGAAGCAAAGGAACCATCAGTATAAAAAATAAATTTTTTCCGTGACAAAAATTGTTTAGCTATTTCTAAAAGTTGAATAATTAAATCTCTATTTCCTACGAAAATATTTTTAATAAAAAGGGAAGAAGAGATATTTAAATTTAAATTGATCAAATTATTAGTAAATAATAAAGAATTCTCATTTAAATATGAGTCCAAAGAAGATAAAACAGGAATCGTTGGAGGTAAAACATTGGGTGTAATTAATCTATATTTACTATATGTAAACGCTTGAGTACGAAGGGTATGTAAAGGTGTAACTGGAAAAATAAAAAATTTCTCTAATTTTATAAAAGGTTTATTAGGTATAAAAGTTTTTGCATGAACTTTAAAAAGAATCAAATGTGATGTTAAAGAAACAATAACACATTTTGGACGTAGATCACCACTAAAAGGTACACTATGACCACATAGTCCTGTACAAGGATGTAAAATAGGGGTTATTCTTTTGGGTGTTAAATTGGTTCTAATATCTGCATTAACCACAGGAAGATAATGTGTTCGGTAAGTAAGGCTAGTACCATATAAATCATTTTGTTGTTCAATCGTCTTGCCATATATAAGGTTGCTTGCCGAAACCTAGGGGTTTAGGCAAAATGGCATTTAACAGAAAAGCGAAATTCTGCCAAAACTATATTAAAGTTATATTAAAAAACTGGCGAAACTTTGGAGAAAGGCGAAACTGCCGAAACTTATTATAAATGCCGAAACTGCCGAAACTCTGCCAAAACTATAATAAATCTATAGTAAAATTTTGACGAAACTAATCGTAGGATTTTGAAGAGGTTTAGACAAGCAACCTTAGCCATATAATTCACACTGGTGTACCATGTCCCAAGAAATGGTCCATTCATTCTTAGGGCGGTATTTATGAGCTTTTCGTAAAGGGGGAGACATAGAGTCAAATCTGGCCGGAGGCGAAACTATCAAATTTCGTAATAGGCGTCGTGAACTGTCATCCACCAGAATATTAAATTGTTCAAGGTTTTGAAACCACTTGGGCGTAGGTCCTTTAAAATTTGCCTTAGGGTTTTGTTTTTTGACGTCTTTCCAGGTACTTAGAAAAGAACCGTCGAGGGAAGTTAATTGATCCATAAACATTATACGTTTTTTCCGTAAACTTTGAAGGTCGTTACTGGATAAAGTATCGAGAGAATCATGTGAATTAAAATACGATATTATAGAGTTACTACCACCTGTGATAGACGTGTTACAGTGTGGTAAAAAAGTTATATAAAACTTGTTAAAGAGACGTAATTGTCGGGTTAAAAGGGATTGATAATTTGAAGAAATAGGATTAGATAGGTCTTTGGACGTTGGAAAATTCGGTATCCAAAAATCATATTGTGTATTCAAAATCTTTTGTAAACCAATAGTGGAAAACATGGGAGTGTTGAAAATAACGTTAACAATTGATATATGTGAATAAAATTGGTTATAAAAAAAACTATTAATGGAGGGAAATAATTTGTTATGAATAATATTATTATGGGTAGAAATTGGTAATTTTAAATGTTGTTTAAAAAGTTTTTTAACTGGAGCTAATAAAGAATCACATTGCGAACGTGTGAAAATAGTAAATTGATTGATATACTCCAGTTTGGGTAATAATACTTTGTTAATAATATAAATAAGGTGGTCGTGAGTTATTTTTTTAAAACGCATTGTATACGCAAAATGATTAACTATTTTTTTAATCTTCTTTAGCGTTGGCGTATGTGAATTAAATGCGTTAATGTAGATTCCAAGAATGCGGTTAGATGAGGCCCGTGACGCTGTTTTAATCATTATTGATTTGTCAGGGGTGACCTGGAATTGTAACTCCTTATTACAAAGTTTAGGGTTGTTGGTAAGGATGATATATTTGTCATGATTGATAGTGATGTTCGCCATGTCATAAAAAGAATTTGCTATTTGGAGGTTGGATTCCAATTGTGATTTGGAAGAAGCAAACCAGCTGGTATCATCAAGATAACCCACCACAGATGCTGAATAATTAATCTGTAGGTCGGAGTCAGGTTGGTAAATATTGTTGATCTTGTTAACGGAGGTGACATGTAAATTTTCGGTTAATTGTGACAAATATGTGAACATAGGATCATAATAAATAATCCATACAATTGGGCTGATGACTTCTCCTTGGTCTATGCCTTGAAGTACATCAAAATCGGCAGATAAACCAAAAGGTAAAATAACATTATTTTTCCGATCACTAAATAAAGAAATTAAAAGAGTGGTAATTGTAGTCGGAAAGTGTAGGCGTTCTAATGCTAATCGTAACAGAGATAAATTAACTCTATCGTAAGCCTTGCTGAGGTCTTGTAGACCAATCCATAATTGTTTTTTATCTTTATAAGCAGATTCAATTATATGTTGGACGACTTGTAATGGTTGTAACGTGGATTGTCCCGTTAGGCCAGCCCGATTGTTTTCATTAATCAGGTTGTATGTCGTAAGCGTGATGTTAATCCTTTGTATCAAAATTTTGACAAACAATTTTCTAAACGTTTCTAACAAGACTATAGGTCGAGTATTTTCTATTTTGCAATCCCAAGCCTTTGGTTTAGGTATAGGGAAAAGGAATGCATGTAACCAGTCCCGTGGATAAATTTGGACCTGCATAATATAATTGAAAAATTTGTTAATGTATTCTCTAAAGTCTTGGTGTGTATGTTTGATGTCTTCGTATGTAATGCCGGAAATGCCTGCGGCTTTATTGTTTGGAAGTGATGAGATGACTTGGGATAATTCGTCAATTGAAAATTCATCCGCTAATGACGTCATGTGTTTACAATCACGGTTGTTAATAGGTTCATAGGTTGATCTCCAATATAACGGGAGGTCTTGAATTGACTTATACTTTTTAACATTATTAAGTTCGTTAAGGTCTTTTCCTAAACATTGAAAATGTAAATTAGTTTGTTCTGCTATAATATGAGGATTGTTAGTAAATTGAAATTGATTAGTTTGATGATCGTAATAATGTAAACGATCTAATGTTATTTTTTGGGGTTTACGGTCAAGGATACTATTAATCATCCTTTTTTGATTATGAATTAAATTATTATTCCTATCATTAATATATCTATTAATTTTGTTAATAGTCCATGAATCTTCTTTTTGTTTGTGTAGGACAATAGATATACGCAAAAGGCTTTGTAAATCTTTTTTAACGTCAGATATATTATTGGGCGTCAAAGTATATGGTAGCCAAATAGTACGTTTGGCGTTAAAGTGAACGTCGATAACCAGAATTTATTTGCGTGATTTATCCCAGGTATTCCAATAATCTTTCCATTTGTCAAGATCATCTTGTAATCGATTAATTTTAATATTAAAAAATCTTCGTAAAATCATACGAAGTATCAGTATTTTGTTGTTATTTTGTTGTAAAGATAATGGACGATCATGTTTCGTGTATTTTTTATATGTGGAAGAAGGGATACATCGATCTTTTGTCTGTTTGATAATATCTTTAATATTAGACCAATATAATTCGATCTGTTGTTCTGGTGTTATATCCGGTAGGGTTGGTTTATCATTAATATGTTGTCGATAAATAATACCGTTGGTAACTTTGTAATCAGACCAGGATTCTGTGGTCATTAAGTGATATTTAAATTGAATTTTGGGGTTTGTATTAGGTTTATATGTGAGTGAATTTTCTAAGCTTTTCCTAGAGCTGTTAGACTTGTTTTTGAAATAATCTTGCGTCAAATAGCAACTAAGAGCCTGATGATCTGTGGTAAAAAAATCTTCAGAGACACTATGAGTATAAGCATAAAAGCTATAGTGAAGGATATTAGGTGAGGTGAAGATGTAATCTATACGAGATTGTATATCTGATCCTTCTTTCCTTTTAGTAGTATGCGTCGGGCTCGGGTGATCGTGAAATGATTTAAGTAAGTCTCTAAGACCAAAGTTTTTAAAGATTGTATTGATTTCACGTCTCCAAATAGGGTAATGATTAGATTTTTTTAGTTTGTCGAAACTAATATTTAAATCACCTAAAACTATACATTCAAAATAATTGTGTTTAGCCGTGATTAAAATGTTTTCAATTTCTTTGTAACATTTAATAATCAATTCTTTGTCGTCAACAGCATTAGCTGGTAAATAACAACATATAAATTTGATATAATGATTGCCTTTAAAGCATAAATCGACCGTTAAAATACGGCTATGAAAGGTGTTGATTTTGATAATATGTTTTTGCAGTTGATCCGTGATCATCATAGAAACTCCACTACCTTTGGTATTTCCTTTGTCATCTATATAAAAATGAATATTATGAATAATGTTATCATTATTCAGTACTGGAAGTGAATGCGTTGAATGTGTTGCTTTCTTAAGGTCCATATCTATATTAGTATATTGGTGGAGACCTGTTTCGGTCAAAATAAGTATGTCATAATTATGAAGCGTGAAAAAATGGAGGATATCATTCAATTTATTATTGAATCCTCCTTGAATATTAATTGTACCAAATTTATGGTAATCAATAAATTGTGTTCGTAATTGAGAAGATGTTGATATGGGGGTGTCGTGTATTTGAGAGGTAGACGACGTTGACGCTATTGTATCCTGGTCATCAAATAAATGGTGTTCAATGTAATTTAGCATATTTTCATCTTCATCATTACGAGGTTCACAAATATAATATCGTGAACTTGTTGTTGGTGCATCATTATTGTCTGGGGTATGAAAGTTTTGATTAATATTTTTGTGGTTTTGGGGTTTTTTATAATTTTTTTGTGATTTTGTGTTTTTGTTATGTTTAGTATGAGAATATTGTAAAACTGGTGCAAAAGGCTGATTTTCGAGGTCAGCCGGGGGTTGTAAATTGGTGTATTCCATAATAAAATTGTATATAAAGAGAATCAATATGTGTATAGAAATGTTAAACCGTTAGAATCAAAATGGGGAAGTCCAAAAAGTATATCCAAAATAAAGAGGAGATATATAAGTTTTAATGGTAAGCACGTAATTAACGTGTCGCATTAAACTGCGGGAGGAGGTTAAGGGGATTGTAGGATTTGACTGAAAATTTAGTTTCAGTCAGTGTTGTATTTGACAATTCATCAATGATTCCTTCAAAGACGGCACCGTCTGACATGACGGCCTCGTCGGGGGCATCGGTGTCTTCATCGGTTGCCAAGGGTTGTTCGCTGTCATCCGCTGTGGTATTACCATGTTTATTGCCTCTTAGGTTGTATCTATTTTTTGTTACTCTATACGAGGATTGTTCGTATGGAGACGGTCATTTTGGTGTTTTGACGTTACGTTCTTTATGTTCTGAAATCTTTTCTTGACTAAGTAAATTAATATTAGTCGTGAGTTGTTGGATAATTGTGTCGTATTTGTCAAGTCTGGTGGAGATGTCATTGAGCGAAGAGCTCATTAAATTGTGGTTGTGATGGATATCGGCGATAGTACTATCGACTTTAGATTTTCCATCTTGGAGTGTTTTAACACTCTGTAAGAGGGATTGGACTTGTTGTTCCAATTGTGTAATTCGTTGTTCAGAACGATTGATATCGGTCACTTGGGGATTGTCCAGGTGAGGGGCGATATAGGAATTATCATATTTTAAATCCTTGTTATTGTTGCCATAATTATTATGGTTATTATATGGTTGTTTGGTCTGTCGTGGATATAATAAGCTACCTGATTGTTGGTTATTCTTGTTGTTGTAGTTGCGCGGTGGTGTATGGTTGGGTTTAGGATTTTGTGACATCGTGGGAGATCTTTTATTTGCATTCAGAGTAATGACATGGTTAAATCTAGCTCTGTGGTTTTCGTTAATTGCAATTTTTTCTTCGTTACGATTAATAAATCGTTTTTTGAAGATTTTTCGATTGTTTTGATCGATGTCGAAATTTTTGTCGTCGCAGTTTTTTGCCTCATGGAGTGGTGATCCACAAGTATTACATGTCTTTAGTGAAAGGTGTCCTGGTAGGACGTGGAGATTGTATCCTTCGAAAAGTGAGGAGGCGCCATTGATCGCGTCTGTCGGATAATTGTTTGGTGAGACGTAAATATAGGCATTTTTCATGGTTGAATATTTGGTGGTTTGTGTAAATGTACAAGTTCGTCCGTAGACGTGTTTAATAAGAGGTTCAATGTCTTTAGCTGTGGAATTGAGTGGGAGACCAGTGATTTTGAAGTAATGACTGGTGCGTTTCTTATATTCGGGATCATCGGGGTTACCAGGTAAGATTCTTACTACGAAGTTCTCGATTTCGAGGCTCCAATAGTTTTCATTCATGAAATAATCATATGCTGCTTGTTTGTCAAATCGGACAATAAGTTGTTTGTAAGCAGGTTTTATGAAGATAGGGCGACCGCGAGTGCTGCGGTTGGAAATCTTTCTTGGAGGTTTTTTAATTTCTTTATGATCTATGATATTGCTGCCTGTTTTTATAGCGAGGTGCTTGATAAGCATGGATGTATCGTAGTTGTATGGTATATCCATAATTTTTATAACAGCCTGGTCTAGATTAGAGAATTTTTGTTCTATTAATGTGTTGATAGCCTCATTGGTGAGTTCGTAAATTTTTACATGTTTGAGGTTATCGGGACTTTTTGCTATGTATTAGTCAAGCGAGTCACGTGTTCTGAAATAGATAGTAAAATATCTGTAGGTGGATGTTGTATTGACGTCAAATCTAAAAGCATTGCTATCCTTGATGAATGACGTTTTTATTAGATTGATAATTTCGTTGTTAGAGAGTTTCGGTGGGAAACTATCTCTAGGAATAAATCCTTTGTGTGCTTTGTTTGAAACTTGTGGTGTTTGTTCAAATATATCTGTTAGCACCGTAATTTGTAACGGATTAGGGGTATTTGTTTGTGTGGCTGACTGTGTTTCCAGCGATTTTCCTTTATCTGTGTTAGTAATAATAGGATCTACATCCATATTAGTCAATATTTCAGTGATTGGTGTTTGCGTGTGAATATCTTTTTCATGTAAGTCACGTGATGTAAGTTCAATTTCGCTGTGCGAAAGAGCATGAGCGGGAGAGGAAGATGATGCTTCTTCCATAGTTGTGTCCGTTGTAGCGTTGTTAGCAGTCTGAGTAGGACCTATAGGTTGACTGGAAGTCATGTTGGATTTTTTGTTGGGTGACGAGTATGTACGATATATATCTTCGTCGTTGGAAACAGGACGATAGGTTTTTTCTATATTTTTCAGGAATTTGTTCGAGAATTTTTTTCTTATAGCAAAACTCATATGATAATGTTCCGAGAAGAGCGTAGAGACCAAAATTTGTAGAAAAAAATGACACTGTTTATAAAGAAATGTATTTTATGGTGGAAATTTCTTCTGTGAGTTTTTGGTATTTAACGATCGTCGGAAAGAGTTTTTTTTCTATCGAAAAGTATATAATGTAGTACAAATCAAATATCACAATAATCACATGTCACGTGACTTTTTAAAAACCGTACAATTACATAATTACGTAATGATATCTATCTTTAATCTTCAACCATTAAATTTTTTCTTTACCGTAACAGCGAATGAACATGAGTAATATTATTACCCATCCGTATATTTTTGAAGGTAAGAAATAAAAGAAACGACACCCTATACCTTGTTCACCAATGTAACACCAACCAACAACTTTTTCAGCTCTAAAATCATATTTCCTACGGACATCAGAGAACAATCTTGTGCCAACATTGTCGGAATTTATTCGTTTGAACACTGACCTCGTAGCTAGGTCACCTCCGGATTCAAATAAATCTGCAGCACTGCAAGGTGCATGGGCAAAGCGGTTTACCTATGTAGCGTCAGTTTTGAACATCTCCAAGGAAAGTATTCTATCTTCGACTCTATTTCTCTGTTTTTTAGGGTATCGGGTCAGGTTATGCCCTGAACTGCAGATACAGGTGACGTCCTCACCCTAGTGATTATGTCGGAACCTCAGTCAGGTAACGCCCTGAACTGTGGCATAGGTGACGCCCTCATCCCCATGATTGCGCAACTTATTCCATCTTTGACTAGCTACTCATTAGAAAAGCGTAAATAACCAAAATTTTGAAACATTAGGTGGTCAAAGATACATCTGATTGGTCTTGTGTTCTCGAGGAAAGATTTAAGGTAGGCTACAAAATCCTTTGAGCTGATTACTCTTGATGAATTTTATTGTTACTTAAACGTATCAAACGTACGACAGATACAGATTTCAAGTAGTCGTCGCGAAAAAAACATATACGACGTATTCAAACGAAAATGAACATGTTGGGGAGCAACTGTTAGAAGACCAGAGAAAACGAACTAGAGAAGGTGAAACTATAACTTTGGATACGAAAAAAGCAAGTATAGTCTACACACGTTTTGTGAACTCTGTACAGATATGACTTATATCATTTTTTTGTAATACGATACAGGCCAAAACGTTTAACGTTTCCTTTGATGAATATACTGGCCCCAGCGAAAATGATAGAATTGAAATTCCCGATGATTCTGAAATTCTCGACGTGGAACCTTTGTCAGGCTGGGAATTCGATACACTGATGCCAAGCTGGTTAAAAAAAGCGATGGATCGACACAAAACATTAACAACCGCGCAGACAGATCCTTTAGAAAAATTCGAACTAGCAAAACAGTAAGTGATTAATGAATACTTTTCCTTTTTATTTGTGCAGGTCCTAATCAATTTCGTTATTTAGACCAATCTGGTGGCGAATCATAGACGCATCAGATCCGAAAATTGTACAGGATTTCATACCCGAAGAAGAATTTTCAGAACTTAATGCCATATTTTCAAATGTTCTTAATATTGGACATCAGAATGATTGGACAGTGTTAGAGCCTGTCGCTGAAAGATGTTTGCAATCTCTTGCAAAGGTAGTTTTTGACATTGAAGCATCTTGATCTTTAAATGATAATCTTAATTAGCATAATTTCGTTTCTAGCTGAATAATGAACAGATCCGTATGATAGGTGAAATGTTTAAGTATGAAGGAATACATGGGGCAGTTTGTAAACTTCGGAAAATAATCCAAAATATCGAAGAATTGAACATAGAAGAACCTGATCTGTTTGATGACGAACCCACAAATAATAAAACACTATCATTGGTTCTTGAAGAGAATGACTATCTTGATAAAGAGGTGGGATACATCTTAGAATTGGTTCGTTACACGTAAGTTCATTTGTTAAATTTCAGCTTGGATGCATACACAGCTTCTAATACTGCAATTCTTTACAATCAGATGTGAAATATTTAGACAAAAGAATTCCGCAACGAAAAAACTCCGAAAGGGACATAGATATGTTCATCAAAAGACACATTTTTGCTTGTTTCGACGATATTCTAGATACCCATTTGTATGTTTTATTATCATCCCTAATTACTTTTCATTATTGACAATACTGATTATTTCTAAGTGAAGCATCAGATGCCCCGGATAAGGTTGAAGGGTTTCACCTAGATTGGATGTTCACGGTATAATTAATCTTTATGAAGTTTTCATATTTTTTGTTTGATTACTAACAGATTCCTACATATAGAAACATGATCTTGGAATAGACATATCATATGGCCGAGAATTTTCCTTATGTGAGCGTGCAGGCTCTAAAGTAGATAACGACACCAAGAATTTTTCAGACATTCTTAAGGTTTTAAAAACACTTAGAGATATGCACAGAAGCCTAGTCAAAGCAATTGCTATCGAAAGTGGGGGAGCACTTTCAAAGCAAGTTTTAAATGCTTGTAGTAAATTAATTATGCCCGGTTTCGCATCATCGTGGTTCTACTTTCGTGCTGTCCTTATAATATATGTAGGAGGTGGATTCTACGCATCATTTGAGTTGGGAAAGTTCGATATCCCTACTTCATATGATGAGATTTGGAAGCTAACTAAAATTGCACGCATTATGTTACAAATTAAGGTTGGTAACATCCCACAATTTAGACTTAAGATTTACACTCACTCTATTTTTTTTTTCATTTATGACATGCAGAAACTGTTGCGTTTCACAGTTTCTCGATTCAAACGTATAATGGAAAGAGCTGAAAAAGAAAAGTTTATTCCCGGAAAAGTAACAATTATTGAAGCAAATCCCGCACACCAAAAAAGCCGAAAAAACCAAAGTCTGAAGAACTTTACAGAAACATGTCAAACCAAGACGAAGTCGTGACCAAGCCATGGCTATCTTGTGAACAATCAGAAAAGAGTTAATCACATGTTAGTCATGTGTTAGTCTTGAGTTAGTCACGGCTTCGTCATAGATTTAGTTACTGGATATTAAGGCGATATTCACAAATCGTCAATAAATCGCAATATCGTTGATAGCAGCTTATATAATATAACATAGCATCGTCATAACTAATCATGTAAATAAAATTTAATAAATCGTTGATCGTTGTAACAGATTATGTAATAAAACTTTAACAAGTCGTTAATAAATTACAGAGCCTTCTTAACGACGTCATAACCACATTGTAGCGCATATAGAATAAATCTTAATTACGTTATAACAGCTTTTATAATAAATCTTCAATAAATCGTATTGAAATGTTATTCATGCATAAACTGAGTATTAGATAACTCAAATCGTCAATTTATTTGCTTGTAATAATTAATTGTAAATGTAAAATCAATACATTCATAAATAAAATAAAGCATATATATAAAATACATATTTAGACATCTTTAAAGAAATAAAGATTTCGTATATATATTTCGTTTTCTAGATTGTGACCATCGATGCATTCATTCCCATTACAATAATGAATAAAATGCGTAGTACTTGTACAAACCACGCTTATAGGAAAGATACGTCATTGCCTATTTGTAGACCGGAGCTTGAACACGGGGCATTCCAGCACTGTTCGATTGGTAATTTCGAATCCATCAACAGAAACAAAAGCGAACTGTTGGTTGTTGTATTGATGGCTAAAAATTGACCGTATAATTGCAAAAGTTTCGTCATCTTCGGTGACTATAGTGACAATTTCACCAATATGTAGCTGATGTAGAACATTAGTATCGTTTTCTTCTGCAAAAAAACATGCATATTCATAGAATTGACATGAATAGCCAAAAATTGCTAAATGATAACCCATATCCCGGTATGATATTGCCAATTCTCTATGAAAATCAGCATCATTCGGCAAAATATCTTCACCCTTTCTTCTTGATATGCACTTCTTCAAGGTTATCTTTGAGATACGTTCATCTGGTAAATGTACTGTTTAAAAATATTAATTAAAATAAAATTCGAAGATAAATTAATTAATTAATGTAAACTTAGAGCAAACCTTCGCTTATATCATCGTTAAAATCTAAAGACTTTTTGGCAATAAACCAGCCATCCATCAGTTGTTTTTAAGTGATGCGGAAGGTTATTTAAGGTATTAATCGTAGTGGAAAGATGACTATCGATACCTCCATCGAATAAATGGCGCACTGCAAATAATGTTGTGTAGCGCTTTAGCAAATCCAACTCCACATTTTTACGGTTTGTCCGTGACATGATGGTCTTGAAAATTCTGTGCATCATCTCTTTCGTCCCTACGCCAGTATTCAATAAAGTGGTGTAGTTTTTAACATGTTGTATCAAATGTAAGTTAATATGTAAATTCGGCAAGTTTTCAAAATCTTTGAACACCTTATTTTGAAAGAACAAATAATAATTGCAAAACATGTAAAAAAATGAATATAATAATTAATAAATTAACAATAACAAATTATATATATTAGATGAATAGTAATGAAATACCTGTGACAAGAGCTTCCGTTCATCATCCAAGCATTCTTCTAATTTAATATAGTCTTCTTTGGTGAATGAATGCATAAATGCCATTGACATCGTTTTTGCCACCAGTACCTAACACTTCAGCCAAAGTTTTATTGCCAAATCATTACGAGAAAAACCTGTCCAGCTTCGAAACTTATCAATTTCGGATTGTTTGAAATTTTGAGGCTTCAAAATCCTATTGAAAATAAATGGCATTACCATAGCCAAACGTAAGCCGTCAGACATCATAAAACTTTCTAAGTGGGAGTTCAGATTTGGCAATTTTTGCCAAGATCTAGGATACTTGAATACCTTTCAAGACAAAATAAATGCTAATTTTCCTTCTGAAGAGAGTGCATCGATAGTAATCCTGAGAAATTTTAATACTTTTCCAGCTATAGCATGATAGACATCATGTGGCGATTGAAGGTGTCTTTCTCTTTTTAAGTTATCAAGTATTGGTGGCTGTGTACACAATCTATATTCTGCAGCAATCTCCTTACATCTTGTCATCATCGGTACTGCAGAAATCTCTTCAAATTGACAATTAGTAAGATGGTGATATCAGGACATCAATGGCAAATTGATATTATTGGAAGTCTAGGAGTCTTTTGTCACATTACAGATATGACAACCTCTTGTGGCATTGTGTCGTTTTACTCCAACCAAGTCATTGCCTTACGGCAAATCTGCTGTTATATCTCCTAGACTTGCGATTACAATGCTCTTTGTCCCTTGTACATCTATAGTTATTCCATTTTCCAATGTCTTCATTTCTGTAACAAATGGAGCTATAAATTCTTCAAAGCAACCACCAAATGGAACGAAACCTAATACAAAATGGTTCTTGAGTTTAAAGTTGCTTGCCGAAATCTAGGAGTTTAGGCAAGATAGCATTTTGCCGAAAAGCGAAATTTTGCCGAAACTATATTAAAGTTATATTAAAAAACTGGCAAAACTTTGGAGAAAGGCGAAACTGCCAAAACTTATTATAAATGCCGAAACTGCCAAAACTCTGCCGAAACTATAATAAATCTATAGTAAAATTTTGACGAAACTAATCGTAGGATTTTGAAAAGGTTTAGACAAGCAACCTTACTTGAGTTATTTTCTTTTATCGAAGGGTAAGTTCCCAATTTGGATGTAAACTCTACCTAACGAGTAGTAGACATTACGAAATGTTCTGAAGTTATCGTAGTAAAAATCGATGTACAGTTTATATATTGGAAGACTAATGTCTGACTCTTCTAATGGGGCAAATTCAGAAGGATGGTAATAGGAATATGCGACATTCCTTATCTTCCAGTGACCTTGATGCTTATAAAGAATTTCACAAATTATGACTGATGATTGGTCATTAGTAGAATCCTCAGTATAGAGTATAGTGATTGCAATTCGCCTAATGATTGATTGCAATCATATCTGCCGATCTGCAGATTTTAGATCCTATTTAGGAATTCTTGTGCGACAAATTTTCAAATTTTATTGGTCAATAAACGTATTGATCCTCGTCTAAATACCTAAGAATACCTCGTAAACACCTCAAAACACCCTAAAAAAACCCCATTAGATTCGGCAAAAATCCATTGGATTCTGAAGGTGAAGAAAATGACAAAGCTGTGCGATTATAAGCCAAAACTTTTATTGAAAATAACTTACAAATATCTCTTTTCATAGAGTTTAACGAAGAAGAACTGCATTTATATATTTTATAAGAGCTGGACATGTTTTGTTTGTAAAATTTTATATAGTTACGGTACTAGTATTTAAAAACTAGCTTTTTCTAATAGTAAATATGAAACTAATTAATTATATAGTCAAATTTATTAACTTTTTATTCATCAACAGCCATTCATCACTCTTTTACCCATTAGTATGATAACGGTTCCTCATACTTTTCCCCATACTCCTCCACCAAGTAACTTCTTTCTGTGTTCCACTTGTGAAAGACAATTCAAAAGTTCACGAGACTTAACACAACATACTAGGGTAATTAAAAAATATAATCAACGCCAAGGTCTTGATGATGTACCTGCTAATACAATTTCCGAATTTAAAGAAATTTTGGTGATGGAGATACACAAAAAATTGGTTTTAAATTTTAAGTCTATGGGAAAGAAGTTGGTTCTATACCATGTCCTGAAAGTATTTTTTTTTCCATTTTTTCCGGGCATATTCATTATTATTCTAAAGCAAAAGGAAATTACAAGTGTATCTTTTATGGTGATGGTGCATATCAAATTTTAAGTGAAATTTTGAATTCTGATCAATGAGAAAAAAAAGGTTATTCGCAAAAACAAGAAACATATGTTGTATGTTTGAATCCTATTCCATGGAATTCTAATTCACATGATCAATCAGAAGAAATAAATCCTCTTGAGCAATTGATTCATCAACAATCTAAAAATTACAAGAAAACTAGGCGGCCAAAATTTTTGCGTGAAGAAATTTTAGTGGAATGGAAAAAACGTGTATCAAGAGAAATTAACGGAAATTTATGTACAGCAGGGTATATATATTTCAATTTTTATATTTCACAATCCTTTGTATTATAGTTATAGACATATAGTATTTACTCTATCACTTATTAGAGTAAAAAAAAAAATAAAAATAAAAAATTAAAATTGGTAAAACACGTTAATAAAAATTTATTGCAATATATTAATTAACTACAATAACTAACCAAATACAAAAATGCGCCTAAATAAATAAAAGTATTTATTAAATAAAATTAATTAATAAAATATAATTGTTCTTTTTATTTAATGCGAATTCTCTTAACTTTTGGAGATTTGGATAATACATTGTAATTAAAATAAAGTGATCTATTTTCATATTCTATTATCTCCTGTATTGCAGATTTTCTCTTAAGCAAATCACCATCATTTTTGAGTGTTTTACGAAAAAAAGTAGAAACTTGATTATGATTCTTTTTCTTGATAGTAGAACAAGAAAATGCTTTAAAACCCATCTTTTATACTTTTCTAAAAGTTCCCACCCGTTATAAACTAATGCATGCTTATAAAGGGTTATCTGATTTGGCATATATAATCCTCGAACATATAGTGGCTCTCAAAAGTAACGCACCATGCAAATGATTGATCATTAATCACATGTAGTGGTATTAAATTAAAGCCAATCAAAATAAAATTAAAAATGTAAATCATTTATCATATGATTATCAAAATATGGTAAAAATTTAATGTAAATTGATTGGTTAATTTTTTAGTATGATACATTTTGTCAAAAAAAGGTGGTGAGTTACTTTTGCAGTTTTTTGTATTTTTAATAAATTAATAATTTTATAAAAATTAACAATATGCTTTATTATAAATTTAATGATAAATTAAATATTAAATAGCCTAAATTATTAAATAAACTTAAAAAAAACCAATAATTTTAATAATTTAGAATTAATTTTATATAAATAATATATTTATAATTATATATTAAGGATAAATCTAATTGTAACAGCCTGTTACGCGTCTTATTTGTAACAACCCCCAATTTTATCCAATTAAAATTTAAGATCAGGCGTAATGTAAACAAAAACAAAAGATCAGTCGTGTAATTAAGACAAAAGAATTTTTTAAAAAATTTCAAGAAACTGCTTATAACTTAAAATTTTGTCTATGAAACTGTCTTAAATACATTAAGTAAAAGTTTTCCAAATTAAATTTTGCATATAAAAATTTTAATTGTAAAACACATATTAAATTTATTATTAAAAAAAAATAAAAAAAGGATGTTACAAATAAGATATGTAACAGGCTGTTACAAATACATTTTTTCATATATTAAAATATACATAAATTTTTAAAATTAATAATAATAATATTATAAAATATTTTTTAAAAAAAAAATTTTGACAAAATTATTGGAATCTCCTTAGTTAGAGGATTTTTTTAAACTAAATTTCACTATGATCGGATTGGTAAATCGGCGCCAATTAATTGTCAAAGTTTGTGTAACAATCATCATTTTATATAGTTTCTTATATATTCAATAATGTTTTATTTAATAACTTCGCATCCAGTGATCACAGAAAGATGAAACACAGCTCATCGGATTCCTCTTGTCGAGACGAATCTAATGGTAGTAAAATCGCATTCATAGATGCAATACATAATATAAGGAATTGTGACTAAACATGTCAAAAAATTTTTTATAACTTATGTTTTGCATAGACATTTTTGACGTAATATATGTCAAATTGCGGGTAAAGAATTTTTTGGAAGAATTGAAATTAAAACTAATACTCGAAAAAGAAAAAGAAATGATTTATAAGTTTTATGGTAGTAGTTATTGAAAACATAAAGAAGACTACATCTGATCTAAATAGTAATAAATTTTTTTACACATGATAATAAAAAACAACTTTATATTGTTAAAATTCTGACCAAAATTAAGGATAATTCTGACCAAAATTAAGAACAATTCTGGCCAAAATTATATTTGTTCAACTCATTTATTGTTGTTTAACTCCCCCTCCCCCCCCTCTAGGCTGTAGTATTATATATTATGTTAAACAAACTTTTTGCTTGGTCCGGCCTAATAAAGATACGATTAATATATTAGATTATAATAAATTACCTAATGAAAAAAAAATGTAGTTTAGGTAGCTATCTTATAATAATTCATTTTTTACTTTTTCTTTAAATACTAAGACTTCTTTTAATAAATATCAAGAGTTCGTAAATTTGAAAAAAATCTTGTATATAAATAGGTAAGGAACTATACTAATATCACATTTTTAAATGCAACAAATTTAATGAAATTTAATATTAGATCCTTCAGATCTTTCAGCATTCCTTGAAGACTTCGTTTACGTATCCAATAAATCTTTCTTTTCTATTATGCGCTCCTAAAATTTAATTTGTTTATTGTACGACCATACGATAGTACGACTCACGTTTTGTATACAAAAATTTTGTATATAACTAGCCAGTATCTACCAGATTTTAAATTTTTAATTAACAATTCTAATTATTAAATAAAAATGGAAGATCAAAGTTACCCACCAAATCAAGAACAGTATAGTGGACAACTTATACCTTTATTACTTACTAGAAATAATTTAGTACCGCCTTGCGAAAATTGCGAAGAATTTAAAGAAATTTGTCAGGATAATCATCTTCATGTAAAATCTTGTATCCATTGCTTCAAAGAATATGCTTATTGCTTTTGTAATCAAGTATGCCATAAAGTAACACCCGGTGGAATATCCAAATATAATTACGAATACATAATTTGTAATAATGAAGAATGTGAATTTATAGGAGTAAAATGTACTACTTGTTTATGTTTATGCAAAATATTTGTTTCGAAAAAAGGGAATTTATTTTGGGGTTGTAGTAATAATGATCAATGTAATAGTTTTTTAAACAATTTGTTTTTGATTCACTCAGACCCTATAAAAAATTTTTTATGAAAGTATTCCGAATTTTATCTGGTTTTTGTATTCCGAAAATGTTCCGATTTTTACTATTATGATTCCATTCCGAAAAGTGATCATTTTTCGGAATAATACTTTAGGTTATTACCCGGAAACACTCAAATTATACTCAGTAAATTTATGAAATTTAAACGGAATATTATCAGATAATTTACACAGATATTATCCGAAAGTATTCAGTAAGTTTTATTGAATGCAATCAAGATACACTTCAATTATATTTGTAGGATATTATCTGAAAGTATTCATGAATGTGACCTATGTATTTTTCAATAATACATAAATAAATTGATACATTAATAATAGGACTCTCTATATTAATAAGATTCTCCATCATTATTTCTAGCTTTCTTACAAGTGTTGTGTGACCTTTGTTGTTTTGGTTATGTTGACCTTCTTTTCCTTTCTCGTAAAGGTAATTGGGCGTCATTAGTTTTTATTTTAGTAAGAACTATACTTGATGATCATTAAGAAATAGACATGAATGAAATAGCAATATCAGTATGTGGAAATGATTCAGAAATTGGAGTATTTTCGTCCATTTTTGGAGATATTGGTATATCAGGTGACGTTCTTAGAAATTGGAATAGGTAGTGATACCACTTTCTCGAGTTTTTTATTAGGTGTGATATTTTTGCACTTAAGAGGTGGATTGATACCTTGGATAAAAGCTTCTTAGTTTTTTTTTGAAGGGTTTCACTTAGAAAACATACTAGGTTTCGCTTATAGATCAAAAATAAGATGCCAAAACCTACAAAAGAAAATAGTAAACGTGTCATACTAACGTATTTTATTAAAGTTTCAGACTTTTTTCAAAAACTCACCCAAGATTCAGAATCAAGATTTAACCAGATCTCTATAAAGTAGAAATAATGAAATGTTACAGTAATAAACATTTTTTTAAATTAGTTTTTGAAAGATTCCAAAAACTCACTATGATTCCAGTGCTTTGAAATCAGAAGTCGTCTAAAAAATAAAAAAACATGTTAGCAATCATTTTATTTTAAAATAGAATTAATTCAAAGGAAAAATATTTACTCATCGAATTTTCCTGCATGTCCAGATACTCCAAAGAACAAAAAAAAAAATGAAATGTTCTTTGTTAAAATACTTTACTAATGCACACTCCAGAGACCAAAAGAGCCACTAAAAAAGAAATGAAATGAACTGTTAGTACCGTTTGTTAACATAGATGAATTATAAAAAGAACAGGAAAATAGCTCGCCAGATTCTTACACGTCCAAAAACCCTTCCTACCATTTAAAAGATTAATGATTCCACGCAAAATTTCCATATGTTCAAGGCTAGTCCATTAAAAAAAGAGAAAAAATGAAACATTAATAAGACATTTGTTAAATGAATAATTAAAAAGAAAAAAGACAAACTGCTATAAAGTTCGTTAAAATAAAATAAAAAAATTTTGAAAAACTTATCAAAATTTCGAGTTCAAGGAGACCGAAAAAATGGCTAAAAGTTTCGTTTAGGATTTTTTTTCAACAGAAAGTACGAGGTGGGAAAGGAGAAAGAAAGACAAAGAAAAGGAAATGGTAGGGAAAAAACAAAAAGAGGGAAGGACAAAGAAAGGACGAAGGGAAGGGAAAGAAAAATGAAGGAGAGTTTAAAAAGTTAAAAAAAAGTGTAAATTAATTGATTTAGGAGTCTAATTGCTGATCTTTACCGTTACTAATTGAGGTCAAATATGGGCCAAATTGTATTATTGAAATATATTGTAAATAAAAATATTTTAAATAATCGGGATATAATCAGAACATTTTCAATTTGAATACAAATTCGGAATATCTTCAAAATTTTTTCAGAGTATTTCCTAATACTTTTTACCATATCAAAACTTCTAAATTTTAACTTGAAATATAATCGGAATATTATCAGTATAATCGGAGTATTTTCAACAAATTCGGAAAAAAATTGGAATGTATCCGACAAAAATTTTTTATAGGGAGAAATCACATTGAAAGTTGCAAAAGTTTACTTTCTATTGATGCAAAAATGTTGAGTAAATTCATTTTTCGATATGTTGAAAATCTTGCATTTATAAACATATTGAAAAAATTATATGATCATGGAAAATTAAATGAAATAAATTTGAACAAAATTATAGGATATTTGGCAGATGAGAGTCCAGGCATCGTTGGTGTTATCAAAAATGAAATTCTATCTCCTACTACACCAAATCGTTATATATCTGAAGATAGAATATAATATAATGAATTTTCAAAATAGTTCACCAACTCCAAATGAACTAGGAATATCTAGTAGTATTAATGTAATTGATCTGAAGCGTAAATTTGAAGCTGATTTGTGCGATAATTTTGAAGAAATTAGGAAAGACTTTGATAAACTAAAGAATAATTTGAGAAGTCAGACAGATAAAAATTTTAACGATCTTAAAGATGAATTGACAAGTCAAAATGCGAATAATTTTAGCAATCTTGAAGAAGAATTAAAAAAACAAAATGAAAGTAGCATCGGTTTACTTAGAACCAAATTTCTAGAATTTAAAGAGCAAAATCAAAAAAACAATGACCAAATACAAGACAATTTTTCAACCTTATTTAAAAAACTAAAGGTAATTATTTTTATAGTACAATAAACTTCAACTTAATATAGTTTTAAATTTCTAAATCATTACAATTTTTAGATTGAAAATATAAATGACGATAGACCTACCTCAAAAGTTCGACAGGTAATTATATAGGAGTTTATTATAACAATTAATCGTAATTAAATTTTCAAAAAAATTTGTTTTTGTAGTCTAATAGAATTAAAGAACAAAGACAACAAACTCGAAAAGATCGAAAAAGACGCAGTGGACATAGGTAATTGTGTGTCGAATAAAGTAACGTTTGTTTACAAATTAAAAAATGATTATATTATCAAATTTGAATAATAAAGAAAAACCACTTTTACTATGTCAAAATTATACAATTCCACTTTCACGTGAATCTTGACCTGCATTACGGCATTATACTTGAAAAATGAATTGCTAATCTCTAACAATGAGCACTCACACTATGTTCATGATTATTAAACATATTTAATAAGACTCGAATAAAGTGCCTATGTGACTCACGTAATAAACGTTTACTTTTTATTGATTCATATTTATTATTACACTGACTTGCAAATAAAATACAAAAAATTATAAATTGATTGACCGAATATAAAAAAAGAGAAAATAAATCTATGCCAAACACAGAATATTTAATCAAAATTTAAGAAATATAAGTCAAATTCTGGTTTCACTTGCCTGGAAATTTTCATAGCAATTTTGTTTTGGTATATTTTAATTGCTTTATTATAAATTTTTATTTGTTCAATTAAAGATGTGTTTTCTTTAATTAAATTTTCGACGTATTTGTCTTCATAGTTATTTCTATACGCGTTTTCTTTCTTAATCAAATCTAGTTCCTTCTTATGTGACACGTTTTCTAATTCCAACAGTTCAATTGTTTTACCAAACATTTCATTTTCTGCTTCTAGTTCTTTAACCGTTTTTACTTTCAAAGATAATTGATTTATTAAATGATAGTTTTCTTTTCGTAAATTTCTGAATTCCGAACGTAAATCTCTAATAAAAGCATTATATTTTAGATTGCTTTCATTTTGTGTATTACTTTTTCCCTATAAAAAATATTTTTGCTAAAATATACTTAAAATAAACTTAAAATTTTATTTTATACTTAAAATATACTGAAATAGGCAAAAATTAAATATCATTTAAGTATAATTTAAGTATATAATAATATACTTAAAATATTCTTATTTTAAATATCCTTAAAATATACTGAAATGGGCAAAATTTAAATGTAAATTAAATATATTTTAAGTATATATTAAATACAATTTAATTAAAATTTTGCAAAAATTAAATTTTCAGTATATTTTAAGTATAAAATAAGAAAATTAAGTATATTTTAAAGAAAATTAAATATATTTTAAATATATTTTAAGTAAAATTTTTTTTATAGGGTTTTAGTAAAAGTATGGATTGTTATAGAATCTGTTATCAAACGTATTTTTTTGTGGTTTATATTTTTTTTTTCTGAGCATTATAATAAATTAAAGACAGAGAAGTTAGGGATAAATTTTATCGTAAATAAATGCTTATTATATATAGTTTTAATTAACCATAAAAAAACACGTAGAAAGTTACTCAAAGACTGATTTATCATAAAATTTATAAAAGCACACGTCAAAAAAATATTTTGCATTTTTTAAATCTGCATTAAATTATTTATATAAAAAATAAATCTGCTTTTTTTTCAATGATCAGATATAAAATGTATTCCTTATCTTTTGAAATTATCACACAAATTATAGACGAAGTCTTTTATTTACTTCAGTTTGAACATGATTATTTAGAATTGCGCGTCGTTAATAGAATTTTTAATAGCATTATTCTTAAAATTATTTTTAGCAATCCTTTTAAATACTTCAAATATAAAAGATTATTAGTTAGTTTATATATTTACTATATTGATGACCTTGATAATTTATTCTTTTTAAACACTCATATAGTTGACTTGCAATTAATTACTAAATCTTTTCTATCTACTAAAAAGATTAATTATGATAAGTTCAAAAAATTTGCAGAAAATACTATCAGTTTTAAAAATCTATTAAAGGAATTCGATTATTATGAATTTATTTGCTCATTTTGTAAATTATGCATAGCTTCAAACGGAATACTCCCCACTTTAAACCGATTTGATCTATATCCCAACAAACTAGAAATAAGCCTACAATATATTTTAAAAAATATTATTTTAGTTGATGGATTGAATTTATTAATCTTGAATTTTTATTTGGAAACAAAGATCAAAGAAAATGTAAGATTATATTGGATATCTAAATCAATAATACCCTTTAAAAGCTATGAGAAAACCATATTAAATGTGAAACGAGTTAATATTAAAGTCAATTTTGTGGATTATGAAGCTATGTCGATGTTAAGTAAACTTGAACAAATAGAAAAAGTATATAATTGATTCGATTTTTTTTTATTACGATGAAAAAACTGCATTTACTAACTATTTTATATTATCGTTATTATAATTGTTATTATTTAGTTAGAACTTGAATTTCTTGATTATAATTCACATAATTCACAATTGGAAACATTCGTTATTTATATAAGGAATTTAATAAAAAATTATAGGAATTTAAAGGTCTTAATATTTAAAAATTGGAAATGGAATAGTATAACAATAACGATTTTTACTTTATATAATTATAATCTCGAAAAAATCGAATTGATCAATAATAGGATATCTGTTGACAAATTTTGGACTTTGGAGTATTTTTAATCCAAATATTGTAACTCTTAAGAATTGCACTATTGAAACTTGGGTTATAGCAAAAGTTACAGAGAAATTTTATCACAAGTTGAAATGGAATTCTAGGAAAAAAAATTACTCTACTTAATAAAAAGTCAGCGAAGATTATTCTAAGTCGAATGGTATAGGCTCATTAGGCTGAGATACAATACAAAAAATTATTTAATAAAATAATTTTTGGCTTTAATTACTTATATTGATTAATATGTTTGGTTCTTTTATTTATAAAGTTGATTTACTACGGTCCTGCGGAGTGCGGACCTACTATTATTTTCGGCTATTTAATTCTAATTCAATTTTAAAGAATATCGTTATGATACATAATATTGTATTTTTAATTGTACTCATTCGAGACATAATGTTGCAACTATTATATTCTATTATTAAGATTTGCAAACTAACTGTAGTATTTCGCAAAATGTTGATATAAACTTCGGTCAATTAAAAATTTATTTTTGAATGTAGTAAGTTGTAAGCTTTTTTATATTTTCACAGATATTTATATAACGATAATATTAATTTAAAGATATATTATTATTTAGTAATGCATCTAATTTAGAATTATATTTGAATTGTAATAATTGTTTATCTTTAGTGAAATAAATTATTCTTCGAGTAACTCGTATAAATTTATAATTTTCGTTTACTATCTTAAAGAAAAAAAGCAAATAAACTTTGTTTAGCAAAAATGCATCAATTTCATACATATTATGTAATGAAAGATGTTTATTTTCATTCAAATATAATAGAATTTCAATACTCAAGTCGCTGTATACCTCTAAAATAAATAATTTAATTAAATTTTTTATTGACAAATATAAGTCAAATAAATAAATTTTAGTTACCAATAAATTTTTCAAATTTCAACTTCTTCAATTTTTTGGTTTTTTGATCTTTTATAATATAAATAAGATTCATTGTTTAATGCATCTGAATTTTGATTTTGATGTAAATTATTGACAATTTTTTCAAGATCTTTAAGTTGATTTTCCTTTATTAAATAAAAAGTCAATAGATATAATTTAATATAAAATATACAATCAAGTTAAATACCTTGATAAGTAATTTATTTAATATTTTTTTTAGAAGTACGATTTGTTTTATTAAAATATTGCATTTTTTCAACAATTCAAATGTAGGAATTATTTCTATCCTATCAGAGTGTATTATTAGTATTAATTCTTTGGTGATACAATCGACATCATACAAAGGGGGACGTCTAAAGCGGAGTCAAATCACGTGACTTCAAAAAAATTTATTTTCTAAATAAAATTTTTCACAATATATATACGACCTTTTAAATATATATACCAAGTGTATTTTGGCCTGCTCCGCAAGTTTACTTAAAATGACAAAATGAGTTTTGAATGCCGTTTTCGATTTATTTGACTTTTCATTTTTGTCTATCCATTTTTAGATATGATCGGCAAAAAAGCTTTTGCTAATATATAAAGTGAAAACCAGTATTCAAAATCTACTTTTTAACCTTAAGTAAACTCGTAAAGCAGGCTAAGATACACTTATTTTATGATTTTCAAGTTTATGTTAAACTTGATTCATAAAAAAATTAGTTCATTCATATTATATTGAATCACGTAATTTGACTCCACTTTAGAATTTACCCCAGTATCACCATCACTTTTATCTGAAATAAAATTTATTTTATGTGAAGCAGGCTTTTATCTGAAATAAAATAAATAAATAAATAAACTTTTATAATTAAAATTCCACCCCCACGTGACCGGTGACATTTAAAGGGATTTGAAAAAAATAATTTTGTGATGCAAAAAAAAACTAAGTCCTTCAGATAAATATAAACAGTGAAAACGTGGTGGGGTGTGATGCCGGTGATGAATTTTACAAAATCACGTGGGGTGGAAAAAGTGATGGTGATACTGAGGAAGCTTCGCTTTAGACGACCTCTATATAAAGTTAGTCTGAAATCAATACTGTATTATATCATATAGTGTAACTTGATTTATTATATAAACGACTGAATTTTTTGTATCAATTTTAAGCGAAGATTTGATTTACAAACGCTAATAATTCTCAACAACGGTTAAAACATTTTATTAACATTCAAATTAATATGTCTGATTCGTCTGATTCTCAGGTAACTGCTACTTCAACTGGTGAAAATTGGTGCTACAGATATGAAGCAGCTATACGCGAAATTAAAAAATATATTCATTTATTAGCGATTGGATTCATTATGATTTTATTGGTATTTTGTGGATTTTTATTAATAAATAACTCTTATGATAATAATTGTCAGTGCCAAGTGCAATTAGATATGATAAATGAACGGATGCAAGCTCACAATTTACATGTTGATGATGCAATTCATTTATTAGAATATCAAATACAATAAACGAAAGAAATTATGAATAATAATATTAAGAATTTAGAAATAGGAATAGATTTATTAGCTAAAACTAAACATAACATAAAATATAAAGCTAATTTATAATTTCAATTTTATCGTTTTTACTTCTTATGTATATTTAATAATTCAGTTTTTTTTAATGTAAAAACTTTTTTAATTCTTCGACAACCTTTTTATTTTTCCTTCGGGTATATTAGTCGTAGTAAGTATATTATTATTTTTTTCACATTTCCATAACTCATACTTTTAGATATTCTCAACTAGTTGGAAATGATTTATTGCAAGAAAAAAAGAACGCACACAGTTTTTAGGCACGAAATATTTTATTTTTTTTATGTTACATGTGAATTTGGTCATTGGCCAAATCGAACTTTAGTTAAAGGAACTTTAACTTTTTAGTTCTTATTATTGTAACAATTATTTTGATACCTATAATACAAATCAAGTTACTTATAATCATGGTAAGAACAAAGTCATTATTTGTTCTTGTAATTATAGAAGATACAATAATTCTAAAAATAAAATTATTTTTTATAAAGGAACTCAAATGATAATGAATATGTCGATGGAAATCAGAATATTTATCAATCATTTGCAAGCCAAAATTACAAATGGTGAAACTTATTCAGTGTTAATAAATAAAATGGATTCCAAATTTCTACAATGTAAAATCCAGTCTAAATAATCCAGTTGAAATTTTGCTGCAATTTAATAAATTGACAAATTTTAATATTACTACAAACATGCAGTATGCCAATATTCTAGATAAATCATAAACAAAAATGATGTCACCTGCCAATATCGATATGATTTTATTGACTTTCAAAATCCATTCGCTTACTTTAGATTCTTAAAGTAAAGTTACAATCATTAATTTGAATCAATTTTCATTCATCAAATTCGTCATTTTGAATAAACAACCAAATTCAAATGCAAAATCCAATATTATAAAACTTGGAGTAAAGTTGTAAATATAAAAAATTCTCTTAGCTATATGTATCTTATACAAATAAATGAAGTAAAATTGAAGGAAACGTACAAAGCAGTACAGCACTTTCTTATTTACAATTCTTGATTCAACTGCGAATAAAAAAGGTTAAACGGTTACATAAATCTGAATTTGCGTACTTTTCACATGAGATTTTGTCAAATTGGCAGATAATCTATGCGCAAACTATATATACCTAAAATTTGAATGAGAAAATTTCAAATGATTTAATCTTGCAGATAAGTTGACTAGTAATTTTTATTATTTAAACAAGAATATTAACTAATTTTTGATTTTTATTAATATATATTTATCTATTAAACAGACAATATGAATAATAACTCAAATCGTAAAGACATTATTGTAGGCCTCGTTGAAGATTTCACAGCCGATATTAATAGTGAAATCGCAAAATATCAAATTGAAAATGATTCTTTAACTCAGGATAATATTTCATTGAAATCTATAAATTCAAGTTTGGATTCTGAAATTCAATTGTTGAAATCTAGTAATAATAATTTGCTACTTGAAAAAAACAGTTACATTTCACAATTAACCGTTCTTACAGAATTGAAAGCTAAAAATGAATCTTTGGAATTTGAAACTAGAGTTTTTGATTCTGAAGTCTGCAAACTCCAAAATGAAATTAATGCTTTACGTGAGAAGAAGTCAAAATCAAAAATTAACAAACGAAAAAAAAAACTTACTAGTAGAAATTAAAAGATTGAATGAGTAATTGCAACAACACAATGATTGTAATAAACAAATTAAAAGAAACGTTGTTAGGCCAAAAATTGGAGTGTTTCAAATAGAAAATAAATCACTTAAAGTGGAGCTTAAGGAGAAAAATCAATGTGTCAGAGATCTTACCGAGCATACAACTCGTTTATTTTCTGCGAATTGCGTACTTATTAACAAGAAGAATAGGCTTCAATGTGAAAATAACAAGTTTATGCAAGATATCAATTATAAGGATAAATCTCATAATGATATTTCACATATAATTTTAAGTTTTTTTATAAAAAGAAGAGATTTTAAAATATTTTTGAATATTCTTGAATCATATCACTCATATGATTTCCAATGACCTTATTTTTATAAAAGTCAACCAAGTTTTCAAGTTCTTCAATCTTATTTTTATCAAAAATAATAATTTGTTGGAGTTTTCTGATATTTCTGCTTAGTTGTTTATTTTTGTTATATTAAATAAAAATTCTTGCATAAAAGATACTTTGTAAATGTTTAACTCGGGAAAATATTTTATTAGATTCTGAATTTCAATTGTTGAAATCTAGTAATGCTGTTTTATTACTTTGAAAAGTAACTACATTTCTTAAGTCACCGAATTTAATGAATTGAAAGCTAAAAATGAAACCTTGGATCAGTACAATTTCGAAGTAAAGAGCAAAGTAAGCTTTTGTGTTCTATGAATCGCGTGTCATCTACTGAGAAGAATAGGCATTGGTAGGTACTTTAAGAACAAAATTATCAAAGGCTGATAGTACAGCTGTGATAGCTTCTTGTGCAAGTTTATCTATTCCCCCGATAGCTGTATTGGTAACATTCTGTATTGCATTGCCAGTATATTTTGCAGCATTATTTAATGAATCGCCTACATCCTGGGCTGTATTGCCTATTGAATCACCAATTCCATTTAGATTAATATTAATGTCACGTTCTAATTTGTCATAAAGCATTTGTCTGAAAAAATATTGTTAACATTGCAGAACGTTCAAATCATGCGAATTCGTAAAATTTCAAGCTTCACGTTTGCAGTCAGATTTTATTGTTTTACTTTTGTTTTATTTAAAAAGAACGAAAAATCAAAAAGAAATTATAAATTTTTTCAAATAGAAAAATGATTTGGTTCATTTAGCAAAATTAATTGTGTAAAGAAATTTGCGTCTCCTAAAATAATACGTTAATAACACTAGTTAATATAAATAAAATGATAACAAATAACGCATTAATTAAAAATTACCAATTTGATTATTAATTAACGATCGATAAAGCTCTAAACGACGCTGTTTTAAAATCAATCTTTCCTTTCTTCGTTTTTAATTTGTTTTAAAATAGCCATTTCATAAAATTATTGATTAAAAGTTGTATTGATTCATTTTTATATTATTAAAAAATTTTGAAAGTTTCATATGTACAAGGGGTGTAATTGCGTGTGATTTAAAATTAATAAGTAAAGAAGACTCGAAACTTTAATAACTTGTTTTGTGTATATATAAGTACAGTAGTTAATACTGTATTTTATCACCTGGCTACTAATTGGTATTTAGGATTTTTTCCGCCAGTTATAAACTGGCGGACCAATTAGTATATCTAGGATGATAAAAAAGTTATTTACTGATCTAGTTTAGTATATAAATAGGCCATCATCCTTCAGATGATAACTCATTTATATACACTGGTAAAAAAATGATTTATCCTACACATATCTTACACATATTGGGTACTCAAAATGTAGAAAATCATACACAAATAATACACATATCATACACATATCGGGTACTAATATATATATCATACATATATTAGGTACCTGATAGGTATACTATATATATAAGTACCCGATATGTGTATGATATGTGTATTATTTGTGTATGATTTTCTACATTTTGAGTACCTGATATATGTAAGATATGTGTAGGATATGTGTAGGATAAACCATTTTTTTACCAGTGATACTACTAGATTAGTAAATAACTAATACTTAGCATTTTACGATTCTTACCAAACATGACTCAATTTCCTTTTAATGAACTTTTAATGATCCATCTGCTTTACAAATACCCCAAAAAATATTTTTATTTTTTGCAAATTTTTATTCAGGTTTGATTTTAAATTTGAAATTGAATGTTTATACAAATTATGAGTAAATTTAGAATTGACGAATTTGATGATTGCAAATACAATTAATGTGATTTTAAGTCAGGATACAAAAGTGAGATATTATTGGACGGTATTATATAATTCTGAATTTCATTATAAAATCGGAAATGCTTTAAATAAGCAAAAATGTTCCTGTGAAAATCTGGAATCTCTGGCATTTGTTGATACTGCATGGTTTGGTAGAGTTAATTATTGGAGCAAATTGGAGCTTTACACATGATGGTTTGTTAAATTTTTAAAAAAATTCGCAACATACCTCTTTATACAAAGTTGTTTTTTATTTTGACTTCATCAATAATGATTATCTTAAATAATAGCAAAGAATTTAATGAAATCTTTAAAATATATTACTAAGGTTGCTTGTCTAAACCTCTTCAAAATCCTACGATTAGTTTCGTCAAAATTTTACTATAGATTTATTATAGTTTCAGCAGAGTTTCAGCAGTTTCGGCATTTATAATAAGTTTCGGCAGTTTCGCCTTTCTCCAAAGTTTTGCCAGTTTTTTAATATAACTTTAATATAGTTTCGGCAGAATTTCGCTTTTCGGCGAAACGCTATCTTGCCTAAACCCCTAGGTTTTGGCAAGCAACCTTATATATTACTTTTAAAGACGTAACATTTGCAAAACTGCGGAATTTTGCCAATTTGGATCAACACCTTTTAATACCTTTTAATAATATTCCTTTTTAAATTTTTATCTTTGGATTTTTCTTAAAACTGGTAAAGTATTCTCAAATGTGGTAAATGTTCTCACACTCTTTAAATTAAAGTTCAGACTTTTTATGATTGAATTGTTTCAAAAATTGAATTACCTGAATTTGTGGTAAAAGTGAAGTTGGCTAAGTGCTGGTATTTCTTGTATAAATTTGACAACTGAATCGATTTTATCAGTTCAGCTGATAAACTTGTATCCCGACGAATTTTATAGTGATCCTTCTTGGCTTTTTCTATTTTAATTTCATAATAAAGTGTCCCCATAAATAAATTGATTATGTACAAATGACATCTTGATTTTATATTTGGTAATAATGTGGAGACCTAGTCTGATATAGTATTCATTTATTATAAATTTGAAAATTTCGCAATGTTTTTTAATGCAAGAGCAAGTATGAATAAAAAAAACCAAGTTAAGAAACAAGTTATTTCAAACAATATCGAACATTTGACCATTTATTCAAAATTTGATTATGATGCAGACAGAGAAATATAATAAATCGTAAAGATGGCAAGTAAATAAATTTACAATTCATATTAAAATGGAATTACAATTGAAATTAGAGAATACTTATAACAAAATTAAAAATTTGTACATACTGGATATAATTACTTACAATAAATTACTTTATAATGTTAATATATTGAAAATAACAAACGACTTTTAGAAAATTATAAAACTACTCACGAGACATTAGAAAGCGAAAATAAAATTGACAAAAATTTAAATAACGAATCAAAGAAAAAATTTAATGATAATCAAAAAAAAGTTGCTTCTATTTTACAGGTTATATATATTAATGTTTTTTAATAATAGTTTTATTTGAATTTTACTAATTATTATTTTAATTTTTGTAGAATACGTCTTCTTTTACAATCGATGCAAAAAATGATAATGAGTCTAAATTTGCCAACACTTTACAATGCGAACCAAAAAAAAAATTCATTAAAAAGAAAAATCTTAACGAAATTATTAAATGGATTATTGAATTTTTAAGACTTTTTTTTATTTTTTTTAAGTTCATTTTATTTGTTGTTTTTCTGAATTATCCCTACAAAGTTAAAAATTTTATAATTTTAAATTATAGATATTTATTTTTTATTTTTTATTTATTATTTATTTTTTTATTTGCATTAAGCTTTAACATTAAGCATCTTCTGAAACTTTTTATATATTTATTTAATGGAAATACTACTTATAGAGTTTATGGCAGAGGATTTTGCAGCAACTTAACAATATATTCGCATAGTATATTCAATTACAATTAAGAATTAGACATTATCAAGTAGCTTTTATATCTTAATCCATATTTTAATCCTATCTTTATTTAATTTTAATATTTTATGCTTTTGTTTGATTTTTTTTAATAATTACGCCAGGGAGGGTCAGAAATATAGCGAACAATATTTTTTATATTTTTTCGTTAGTATATATGTTTGCTATAGAGTAGAGGTCCGTTTGCACCGCATTGCGTCAGGAAGGGTCGGAAATATAGCGAACAATATTTTTTATATTTTATTTAACTAGTTTTTGTTTTGTACATATGATTGTTATTGATTAAAAAGTGACTTATAAAGTGTGTAGCATGGGATATTGTAGTGATTTGTCATATAATTACGCATTTTATTTTGTTAATTTCAATTTTAATTCAAATTAGAATCAGAAATATTAGTTTTACCTATATATTAAACCTTACTATATTATTTTTTTTCTTTTTGTAACTAATTATCTTTAGATTTTTATTACCCTTTAATGTTACATGATCAAGCATTATTTTCCTAGTAATTTTAATTTAATTCATTTTTTTATAAATGACTACACGTTTAAAATATAAATTGTTGCATATTTAGCGTTAGTGATTAATAAATCAATACATTTTTCGCAAAATCAAAATAAAGTTTATAAATTGCTAAATTTAAAAATATTAATAAAATTATTAAAATACGAATTTGACAATTTGTGTTTTTACACTTATTGTCAATTTTTTTAAGCTTTCACTTTATACGTTTTCGATGATTTAAATAATACATTTGCCTATAGATAAAAGGTAGTCAGTAAAACTGAGTGAATACAATCACATATTAACCATTTATACTCTTTATAAAAATAAGCAGGACGATAAAGAATAAATCTATAAAACCTATCCTTCAGGTACAGTTCGACGTCCTCAAATTTCGAACCTGGACTTAATTAATAAACAATTATATTCACCTTATTTTAATTCAGTTTGAAGTAGAAGTATCGGTTTTTTCCAAACTGATGAACTTTCAAAAGCTACTTTTTAATCATTTTGATAATAAATTACTTCAAAACAGTTTCTATCGCAGTTAAAATGCACTCTTTATTGATTTTTTCCTTACATGCAATACATTACACAAAAGTTATTTATCAAAATTGGTTCAGTTGACTGTAACGTTCGATCATTGCTTATAATGGCAAATTAAATTACATAACATCTGTCAATTAACTCAATTTTTATATGACGCGTGACAATAAATCTATATAAAAATGTTTCGTTAAACTGATTTATTTATTTTGACTTACGACTTTTACTAAATACATATAATAATGACAATTCAAAATACTGGAGTAACCATTTCATTTCATGCCTTCGGACATAATGATATAGTTAATACTTTTACTGGACCAAATATTGTATCTCCTCTTTTATTAAGATCAGCAGTTGTTTATTATTATGGTTTGTGAAATTATATTCTGAATATGACCATGTAATAATTAGATTATTTTAAAATATTTAACTTTCTATCTATTTTATTTATTTTGTAGGAACAACAATGTTAATTGTTCGTATCAATAGAAAAAAATATCATGCGATTACTGTCAAAACTTACGAAGATAATGATGACATTGTTTTTATGAGCGGCCAATATGATAAAGTTTACCATAAGGCTTGGGCTTTAGTTGAAGAATTTAAATATGCATATTTTAGTTATAAAATGGGAAAAATCAATGGTGTTATTTCTTCTTATAAAGAATTAGAATATTTTGATTTATATTATTAATCAGCTTGATCTATCATAGATTTTTATACCAATAAAAGTTAAAATTTATTTCATTTGTCACATGATGCGAATAATTGGATTAAATTTCTTTAACATGATAATAGGCAATTTCTAGTATTCAGGATTTCAGGTATTCACCAGGTAAGAGCAATTTTTTCTTAAATTTATTTACGTTATCACAAATAATAGTTTGTTTGTATATCTGATGTAATAAGTACGTGTTATCACTTTTTTATAATTTGATAGAAGTACCAACAGGCTACAGTATCATTAAGGAACAGTTCGATTTCAAATTATTACAGTAAAATGCTAATAACTAATATATTTGTACAGTATTCAGAACTGTATTCTCTACTGAATTTCACGTGTCAGTCGAATTATGCGTGAAACTAGGACTATGCTAACAATACTAATAGGATAACACGAGTCATAAATACAATATTATGCTGGAGCCTTAGTTCTTGGATAGTAATTTAATAAGATTTATTAGAAATCAGTTTTATTCATAAAAGGATATACCGGTATCATGTGTTTTTGTTTATTATAAAATTCAATAACTCGATTTCTTTCGCGTGAACTTTTGCGAGAAATTTTTAAAAATGGATTGCAAAATATTAAGTTTTTACATTCTTGTTTATTAGTAAATGAATTTTGGTGCTATACCGTAATTCCAATTTTGTGGAATTGTCCCTTTCATTTATTGTTACATCATGATAAAAAGTATTCTCAACATATTATTTACACTTAATATTCTTGCTTGAAAAACAAGCATCATTTAATTATCATGAAATTACGTATTGATACGTTTTTATATCATTAAAAAATTTTGCAAGGGGTGTAATTTCCAATTTTAAGGAATCGTCCTTTTCATTTATTATTATATTACAATAAACACCATATTATTTTATTTCACTTATTATTTTTGCTTGAATAAACAAGCCACATAAAATTATCAAACATTTTTACTCTTTTTTAGCTTTTGTACAAGAATGGTGTACATTAAATTTACACGGTAATGATTTATCTGCTTTACAAATACACCAAAAAAATAATTTTATTTTTTGATGCTTAAAATCTTGATTCAATAAATCAAATTCGAAGCGATATTTTAAATTGGATAAAATGATGAGCTGACACTTGCGCTTTCACTCATCAAGTGTAATTGTTTCGATTAAGTTATGTCTTTCTAAAGTTTTATTAAACTCACATAATCTTTTTTTGATAGTAACAATTCGTCATTTTAATTCAATATTTTCTTTTGTTAGGTCAGATACTGCATTTAATAAAGTATCAATTAAGCTTACTTCGTCCTGTATTTTCTTAACAGATTTTCCTTTTACTAATTCGATTTTTCGTCGTAATTCTCTTTGCTTTTGCGCTAAGTAACTTGGACTGACGTTTTGAAGAAAATCAACGAAAGAAGAAGCAGCAGATTGAGAAGGAGGTTGGGAAAGTAAATATTTTGGTGATGGTGATTTAGATAAAGGATATAAATACGGAGAAGAAATACGAGGCTCAAAGATATAGAGAGGAATGGCAACATCTTCTTGTATTATTTCATGAATTAAGTTATCTAGATTTCTTTTGTTTCGATAAAAAATTACTTTATTGTTTTCGAACCTTTGTTGTAGGTTCTGATCATTTTTATAATTCTGGGCCAATTTTAAGTTTATACTTTTGGAACATGTATGATATTTTTTTTTTTCGGCCTCAGTAATATGAATAGATCGCACTACTCAACCATGTTTGTTGTGTTGGTTGTAAGTGTTAATTGAGACGATTCTTCTCTCCACGCGTTCGTTGTTTTCGTTGGTTGAGCAAAATAATACACATCGGGCACATGTACAATTCATTTTTGATTGAAGTTAAATTGTAAAATAATTGGGTGGTAAAAAATGAAAAATTTTGCTTATTTAAATTAAAAATAAGAATACCTTGAAAATAAAATACCCATTCTAAATTATGACTCCAGAAACACTACATCATACATTACGTAGAGTAGACTGTATAGTCCATTATATACATCATAAACAGTATAATCATGTTCGAGATAATACTTTATCAATTTCTATCCAATGCAACTTTACCTAATTTATCAAGATTGATGTTGTTATCAACTATATGTTAGTTCTGATTTTGGATAAAATTGACCATGAGATGCTTCAGCAAAAAAATTATCAAAATAATGTCCGTATGCTAGTTTAAAATCCTTGGATTTCGTATTTGAATTTGATTGTTATACATATTGTTAGTTTAGAATTGACTAATTTAATAAATTCAAATGTATTTATAGCGATAATTATGAATTTAGATCATGATCCAAAAATTAGAAATATTTGTTATATGTAATAGAGCTTTTTATATTGAAATTGGAAACGCTTAGAGATTTCATTGCATTATGAAATTTAACCAAATTGTGAGCTACTATAGATGTTGTAAATTTTCCTGCTTTATTTTTTTTATTGAAGAATTGTAAAAAATTAAAATGCTTGGAATTTTATGGAAATAGTAAACCGTTGGATGTGACTACATTCTGCTAAAATTAGGTTTGTCTCTTTCATAAATTGGTGGAGGATCAAATCGAAGATTTACAAATTATAGTTTGTTAATTTTTTAAAAAATTCGCAAAGAGTTATTAAATAGAAAGAATCCAAAAAATTACATAATATAACAAAAAAATCTTTTATTGATTACCATAAAAATTTTCAGTGAGAATCTCACAGACAGCAACGCAATTTCAGCAAGAGATCCACAAATGATAAAATGGATATCATTACCCTCTAAATGATTCCAGAAGGTTAATTGACAACAATAACTTATGGATACACTTAACTTCATCCAACTTTTTATATAACCTAACTTGGTTGTCATCTTTAAATGACGATTTATCTCAAATTCATTCACAAATATTCAAAGATTTATTTTTATTTCACATATAAGCCCAATAATCATGACCTTTCCTAACTAGACTACCTACTATTCGTTACTACTAATTTCTTTTCTTAGGATCCTAGATTTTTTTTTATGTTCGATCTCTTTATCAGTAGCGTAGTTTTACTGTTAGAATAGTGTAACCCGGAGGGTATCCTGCAGACAGGGTGAGAACCTGTCTATGGGATTGTAACCACAACACGATTAATTGTATAGTTATTTACTTTTATAGTTGTTAACTTCTTTTATGTATTAGTAATAGGTTTCTCCTCTCTGAAATAAAATAAATAAATAAATAAATAAATTTTAATTCAAATTATTTAAACTGTAAATAAGATGGAGTGTTTGATATATTTCAAACTAAAATAAATTTTATTTTTTTCATTGTCAAATAGTCAATTTCTTCTAATCAATAAAATTCATAAAATAAACGAGCTGAACTATCTCTTTGAATATAATTTTTAAAAAAGTAACGATTTTCACTCTAACTAAATCAACCATTTTTCTTGTCACAATTTCTCTTAAAATTTTTGAACTCTTTATTAAATTCTATTCCTTTAGTTTTTTCACTCTCATAAAACCAGTGTAAAGCAAATTCTCTTCTCTCAACCTTTTAATTACCACTTCATAATTGTCGTTAACAACTAAATGATTACCAATATTTTCTTTTAATTTTTGATTTTCACATTGTAATTATACTTTTCGTCAAAATGACAAAATACTAATTAAATTTATTTTGACAGACGTAATGTATTTTGACAGACGTAATTAATTCATAGTAATTTTATAATAAATAGTGAATTGGTTTGTTCGCCGAAATATGACGTAATTAATTAGCGGAGAAGTATAATTGTAATGTATCTTTAACAGTTGTAAGATCTTTGATAAATGCCTTATATACTTTTTGATTATCGATGACTACATTTAAATAGTCGTTAATAGCAGTAAAGTCATCTTTTACTTTGCAATTTTCGAGTCCCAATTTGTTGTTAACAGTTGTAAGATCTGCAATATATAATTTTAGGTCATTAATACCATTTTCAAAATTTCCCTTTAATGTTAGATTTTTGAGTCCCAATTCATTGTTAACGTTTGTAAGACTTTTGATATTATCATTTAAATTATCGATTATTACTTTTAATTTGTCATTTTCAAAAGTAGCGTTAACAATATTTTCTTTTAAATTTTGATTTTCGCATTGTAATATATCTTTAACAGTTATAAGATCTTTGACATTTTCTTTTAAATCAATTACTACTACTTTTAATTTGTCGTTATCTAATGCAAACTTATCAATATTTTTCTTTAATTTTTAATTTTCGAGTTCATATTTTTTTTGATTATTGACAGCTACTTTTAAATTATCGTTAACAACATTATAATTATTTTTCAAATTGTAATTATCGAGTTCCAGA